TTCCTATTTCACATTATCTATTATACCTTTTAGTCCTTATTTACACTTTCAGTTTCTCACACTAGAGAAACTATTTGGTATGTACACATGTGTGCTTTTTTCTTTGCACATTTTCTGGCACCCTGTTTGTATATATTCATAAAACTTTAAACTTTTTTTTTTTTTTTTTTGCAGTACCGGGAATCACACTCAGGACCTTGCACTTTCCATGCAGGTGTGGTGCCACTGAGCTAAATCCTGGGTCCTAAACTTTTTTTTTGAGAGAGAGGATCTCACTATATAGTTCAGGTTGGCCTCGAACTTGCAGTGATCCTTCTGCTTCTGCCTCCCAGAATTCTGGGATTATAGGCTGTTATGGCTTGTATCCAGAAGTCACCCAAAGTCTTATGTGCTCATAGGTGGGGCTTTTCAGAGATGGCTGGATCTAGGGTGTGTGATGGTGGGATTAAGTGTGCCCCACCTCAGGTATGGGGGGCACCAATCAAAAGGTGTGCAGCGTGGGTGGCATAAAGGGACAGGAAGGCTTGCTGATGCTTCTGCTGTTTTAGTGCTTGGTGCTTTGCAGCTTTGGTGCCTTCTGCCTGCCTGCTCTGCCATGAACTGTTTCTCCTCCTCGATGCCACCCTGTCTTGGAGCCAGCCAACTATGGACTGAAACCTGTACATACTGTGAACTACAGTAGACCTTTCCTCCTTTAATTTGGGGTGTTGGATATTTTGCCTCAGCAATGAGAAAAGTTACTAAGACACAGGCTTATGTCATTAGACTCAGTTGAATCTTGTATTTTAACTAGATATCGCTAGAAGTTCTTTGAAATCATGAAGAAGTTTCTTCTTATACAAGAGCAAAGCAAGAAGAAATGGGAAGTGAGTATTTTCATTTTTATTTTTTGGTAATGATTTTAAAGTTGTAATTCACGTGTCATTCAGTTCTTTCTTTTTTTTTTTGGTACGGGGGATCAAACTCAGGACCTTGTGCTTGCGAGGCAGGCGGCAGAACCACTGAGCTAAATCTCTGGCCCTTAGTTCTCTTATTTTATATGTCCAAGTCAATGGTTTTTGTTTGTTTGTTTCTTTCTTTCTTTCTTTTTTTTCTTTTTTTTTTTGGTACCAGGGATCAAACTCAGAACCTTATGCTTTCCAAGCAGGTGGCGGAACCACTGAGCTAAATCCCTGGCCCTTGTTTTGATTTTTTGAGACAAGGACTGGCTATGTATTCCAGGCTGGTCTTGAACTCACCTGGATAACCCAGGCTGGCCTCAAATTTGTGGTGATCCTCCTGTTTCAGCTTCCCAGAGTGCTGGGATTAAAGGTGTGCACCACCAGCCCCAGCATCAGTGGTTTTTAAACTACTCAAAAGTTGGGTATTTCTGATTACCTTGTTCTTTTTAGTGGCTGCATAGTAACACTCCAGAGGGGACCTTGGTGTAAGAAGCAAAAAAGTGGTCTATTTTCAGGATAAAGACTTTTAGCCTGAGGATGTGATCGACACTGTGCATTTGAGAGAGTCTCTAAACAAAGGGGGGAGGGCAAATAGTCAATTAAATATGGAATTCATTATGCTAACTCTGGAAAAACTGGATAATTAAGAAGCTACTATCCCCTGTAGTGTAATCATTTGCGCTTTTTTTTTTGGTACTGGGAATCAAATTCTGCCCCTTGCACTTGCCAGGTGGGCACAAAGCCACTGAGCTACATCCCAGGTCCCTAATCATTTGCTCTTAAAAACCCATGGAACAGGCTGTAACCCCCAGTCCTCCAAAAGGAACTGCCATTAGGGTTGCATTGCACTTTGTGGCCACTCTGGGGGTGTTAGTCTGTTCTTCTGGGCTGGCACCTCACTCTTGCAAGATTGGGAAATCAGGCTTTGCCTTGGGGCTGGACAAGTGAACGCATTCTTCACAGTTGGGGGCTTGTGCAGATTTCTTTCCCTGGGTGGGGTCCTGGTGCAGAGGGAGATCTGTTTGCCCCACTTTTGGGTGGCCTGCTCTGCCCAGATGTTCTGTCTCCTTGTAGGAGCCATAGAACACCCAACACTGTTGTTCTGAAGGCAGCAAAACCAGGGAGAATAAGGCAGTCACCCATGCATAAGGCACGGCAGAGAAACTGGACTCTTGTAGGGTGCGTTTCAGAGGTCAAGTATGTGACTGAGATGTGTCCTAGACACAAAGCAAGTGTGAAGAGATCTGTGGTTTCATGCTCCCACAAGGGAAATATCCAGAGATGGACAAATGATAGCGTGTGGGAGGAGTTAATGTCCAGAGGGGCGATTCAGGCTGCATGAGAAACCGCCATTGCAGGGGGGTTGAGTGTACAGGAAGCAGCTCTCAGGGTCTGCAGGAACTTCTGCTGGGGGGTGGATTAAGAATAAAGGGAAATTCAGTCACAGGGACCAACTACAAATGGGAATGAAACTTCTAGGCCTAAGGAAACAAAGGCAAGGAGAAGGAATTCTTCCTGAGACATTGCCCCATATAGTCCGCTGGGACAGATTGTCAGAGCACTGCAAAGATAGCTCTCATACCAAGGAGAAGGAAAAGTTAAAGGGACCAAAGGAAAAAAAAATGTACAAGGGACATCTTAAAATTAGGGTTACTATCCAGTGTGATGGTGCACACCTGTAATCCCAGCACTCGGGAGGCTGAGGCAGGAGGATTGGTGAGAGTTACAGGCCAACCTGAGCTACATTAGTGAATTTAAGGTCAACCTGAACTATATAGTGAGACCCTGTCTCAAAAAAAAAAAATGTAGGTTTGCTATAGAAAGGAACCAGTAAGTAGGATAGAGAAGAAAATATGAAGTTATAAGTATGGAGATATATTTTTGCTGTGAGAGAATTTTATATGATAAAGTTTTACCCTACTGGGATAAAAAAGGAAAGAAAAGCTGAGGATTTAACTCAGTGGCGCCACACCTGCCTTGCAAGCTCGAGGACCCGAGTTTGATCCTGGGTACCAAAAAAAAACGGCACTCTAATCTAAAAGTAATTATTTGTATGTTTGCTTCTTGTTTAAACTGATTAATGTACCTAAAGGTGCTTTGTTAAAGCTTTTTGAGCTCATATCAATTTTACGTTACTTTAATTTTTTTCTTTTCCCTGGCTCTTGTTGGCCTTCCACAAAAAACAAAAAACAAAACAAAACAAAACCCCCCAGTTATTGAAAATAGCTAGGTCCACTTAAAACATTACTGGATGAAGGTGAAGAGTCTTAAAACTCGGGTGGGAGGGCCAGGGATTTAGCTCAGACTCCGCCTCATCCTCTCCTCATTTTGAGCCTGAATCTTGTCTACACAGCGTGCTGCTCGCCTTTTCTGTAATCGGGCACCATTTCCTCCGTAGAAGCAGCTGGTCTGCTTTCAGCACTGAGCTCACGCTTTGCAGTTCTTTGCTTGTCGAACATGAGATCTGGGAATCTGTGTGTTGGAGCAACCATGTGGTAACACCCCATCTCCACAAAGTCTGCCTCTCAGTTTCTTACAATCTTGTTTTGCTCCTTAATTTTTACTCTGGGCTTCTCATTTAAGAGACACCATATCACGCCTGTGTGCCTAATTTATTTCACTTAACGCATGGTCTCAAGTTGCCTCCATTTTCCTACAAACGACTCAAGTTTATCTTTATGGCAGAGTAGGACTCCATTGTGTGTAAATACCACATTTTCATAATCAGTTTGTCTATTGATGGCCATAAGGGCACTTCCAAGATTTCACTATTATGAGCTGGGTTGCTATAAACATGGGCATGCGTGTACTATAAAAAATACAGTTCCTTCTCATCAACTTTTTGTCCCCTGTCCCAGGGTTCTGGTGCATATTTTAATAGAGGGGCCTTTTTTCTGGGACCAGTGAGCCCAAGCTCGTCACAAGGTGCCTTGGGAAACCAGGGTGGTGTGGCTAGTGGTTGCTGGGGAGGGGAGAGGGCTACCTAGGAGAGACCGAGGTGGATTCCTAAGAGGGGTCAGGTGTGTCGGAGGGAAGACCTGAGTTAAAACAGAAGCCAGGGATGGTGCACTGGGGCCCAGGGGGCAGCATGCGGAGCCCAGACCTCCTGGAGTCACAGGCTGCCCTGGTCCGGTTTTTATTGGGCCAGTGTCACTCTGATTTGCAATTCGATGAGTAACCATGCAGGTTCATGGCGAGAACAAGAGCCATGGAACTGCTTTGCAAGAGACAGGTGGGTGGTGTCACGGGCAGGTGGGCCTAGCATGATGGGCGTTTCGGTAGCCCGGTGGGTCCCGGAGAGGGGGAATGGGGTCACACAGGAGGAGGGAAGATGCTGCGCTGGCTTGGAGGTGTCTAGACTTAGGCAGGAAAAAGCATGTTCCAGAAGCACAGCGTGAAGCAGGGCACGGTGGCCCACCCCTGTAATCCTAGCACTCTGGGAGCCTGGGGCAGGAGGATGATGAGTTCAAGGCCAGTTTGGGCAACTTAGTGAGAACTTGTTTCACAATAAAAAATAAAGGAAGGACTGGGGATGTAGCTCACTGTTCCCTGGGTTCAATCCCCAGTACCAGAAAATTAAAACTTGACTTAGGGTTCCAAACTGGCCTGGGGCCGCTGCGTGCGTGCGTGCGTGCGTGCGTGCGTGCGTGCTTGTGTGTGGGGGGATGAGGCGTGAAACCAGAGAAGGAAAACAGCATTCACTGATGCTCTATTGAACCAAGGGCAGCCCTTAACCTCCTGCCTGTCCCAGGGAACTTCGGTGCCAGGCTATTTTAAATGAACTCAGCAGCCTGGGGAGGTGGGAACTCTCACCCCTCTTTGACAGCGCAGGAAAGGAAGGCACAAAGAAGTTGGGGTGGAGGAGCTGGGCGAGACCTCAGCTGCCCCTGTTCCTGCTCTCCTGTGGATGCATGTGGTCTCTTTAATGCTGTACTTTGCACAGGCAGAGAGATGGCCAAGGGAGGTGGAATGCCCTGATGGGGGGTGGGGGTGGTGAGTTGGTGTCTGACCGAGGCCAGGGGTGGGAAGCTATCAGTTGAGCTGGGACAAAATCAGCCGACCTGCTTGTCTCTGTCCCCATAAAGATGCTGGCTGGGGCGCTGGGCCAGTTCCCGTGGATGAGGGCACCTGGAGTCAGGCTTGGTAATTTACTAGGCAGGAGCACTGTCTAGAGGAGACAGGTCTAAACTCGCCTCCCAGGACTTTCCGATGGGCAGCCCGGACTTCCGGTGGGAGGCCGTGCAGGCCCCTGGCGTCCTCCAGAAGTGGTTAGCTGGAGGGATGTCAGAGAGGGACTCAGGGACACCTGCAATTGCAGGGTTAGGGGCTCAGCTTCAGATTTAAGGTCTCCTGGCTTTTAGGGTCCTTGCCTTGAGGAGGCAGTTTGTGAAGAGAGCACTGGGGTTTCTCAAGTTTCTGGAGTAAGCAGTTAAGCTTTTTTTCTTTTTCTTTTTTCTTCAGTAATGGTGATTGAACTCAGGGCCTTTGCACTGAGCTACATCCTCAGCTCCTTTTAAAAATTTTTTTATTCTGAGACAGCGTCTCTGAGTCACTAAATTGCCAAGCTGGGCTGGAATTTGCAGTCCTCCTGCCTCAGCCTCCCAGAGCACGGGGTATGTACTGCTGTGTTCAGCTTGGCCTACCTTTGGCATATTGCTCAGATTCTTCTCTTTCATTTTGCAGAACTCAATGTGTGTAGGGAAGGGGAGAGGGGAAGTAAAAATAATTAAAGTGTGTTAAGTACATGTACTAAATTTGCACAATGAATGCAATCATTATGTACTGCAAACATGAACTAATAAAAATTTAAAAACTAGGGCTGGGGATTTAGCTCAGTGGCGCCACACCTGCCTTGCAAGTGCAAGGTCCTGAGTTTTAAAAAAAATTAAAAACAGAACAACGTGTGTGGTGCAGGTGACTCAGGG